ATTTTTTTTTATTATTATTTTTATTATTAGTATTATTATTATTAGTAGTAGTATTAGCAGCAATAGCAGCAGTAGTACGAGTATTATTAAAATAGTAAGTGTGTCGAATATTTTACCAGGGTATGTGGTCTTCGCACCTGATGTGGACACTTTTTAAGAAGCATTATTTCAGCATAACAAATTTAAAATTAAAGTTAAATTTTTGTTGATACGTGTTTATGCCTATATTCTACTTAATTTTCCGCACTAGTAAATGTTTTGTAAATTATTTAATTTTAGATAAAGAAAATAAATATTATATAAAATATTTCATTGCTTTTGGAGATACAATAAGAGAAACTTTCATTCAATTGGAACAGGTGTTACGTCTCTTAATCAATTATTGATTATCTACAAGCAGTTTCCCTGCGTTAACTATATATATATATATATATATATATATATATATATATATATATATAATGTGTGTGTGTATGTATTTGTATGTGTTTGTGCATATGTCTACGCGTGTACGCGCATTTATTTTCGGATCTATTTCGTAGGGTATCATTATAGTTTTATGCAAATATATTCGACAAAAACATTTTTTAAATAATTTGTTCTTTAAGTTTTATATCAAGTCTCCTTAAAATATTTTGAATTTTCAAATTTTATTATTTTTATGGCGGACTCTTTTTTTTTATATCCTGCAGTGTTTGTGATGGCCTTGCAAAGGTATTTAAAAACCATTTGACAGATACATAAATATTAGAGATTAAGTTATATCGGTTTCTCTAAAATCTTGTTAGATCGAATTAGGTTGATAGTCACTATTTACATTATTCAGACTATTGTCTTCATCTTTGTCGCCATATTCATCACAGCATTCCGGCCGTTGTACGCTCCGGCCTTCTTCAGGTGGTTGGAATGTCGAACTGAACCCTTTATTTCGCTCACTGGGGTAGACTGTTCTAGTTCCACGCGCCATGTTTAATGGATGTTAAGGCAGTGGAGAACTTGGAAAGGGGAATTAACAGGAGATAACTGATAACTGACATCCATTAAACATGGCACGTGGATAAATATGGCGACAAAGATGAGGACAATAGTGCGAATAATGTAAATAGTGTACATAATACCCCATCTCAGAAATATAGATAGGTTGATAGTCTTAAAAAATCAAATGCAAATTTGATTTTTTAAGACTATCAACCTAATACATTGATAGGATTTAATGAGTTTTCGCAAACCGTTTGCTAAAATTACGCAAGTTCGCACTGTCGTAACTGAGTACAAATTTTCTACTGGGGAAAACTATTTGGAATATAAAGAAAAAAAAACTAGTTTCTAACAATTTTGAATTCCATCATTGGCTATATAGATAATTTTACATCACATTTTATCTTTCACTTTCTTTCATATTCCGATATTATATTAACAAGTGTAAAATGCCTAAAAACCGTGGTGTATGTCTTTTTATGATTAGCTTGCTTCATCATGATTAATTCAAGTTGAAACTGAGAAGTAGATAACTTTTAGACGAAGTAAATTATTTGAGTTATATTGATTTAAAATGCTTTTTTCTAGCAAAAACAAAATCAAGATGTTCTTAAAATCTATTAAGTTATAGTCCTTAATTTCCAACTCCGGGGTGCCCGGCAAGATAATAACCTCTCAGATAAAGATGCCAGTTCCTAAGGGTAAGTTATTCCGATGTCTGTGAATCGTGAGTTCAGTCTTCGCTGTGGCAGGAACATACCGCTAACATAATTAGCCTAAGTTCTCTTAATTTCACTCTCATTCATTTAATAATGCGTATGAATCAATGTTTCTCACAGCGTATAAGCAAAGGTTAAAATTTTTCTAGCCAAATGAGAACTAGCTAGGTAAATTAGGAAAATAATGGTTAAGAATTAAGAGAAAACACAGAATATTAAACTGCTTAGCATAGAACCGGATAATGTCCAGAAATGCTTATAACTTGGTCCGTGTGTTCTCTCTATAAACTAGCAAACGAAGGTTCAAATTGCACTCTTCACTTCCGGCTACAAATGAGTGACGCCTGCTGGTTTAAGGCTCTTTTTGGCTTGCATACAAGTTACTCATAACCTGCATATTCGGGTTACTAATGTATTTAAATCTCATTTACTGTAATTATTAGTGTCTAATACGCAATTCCACCCAAATTTTAAGACTGAAATTTAAGTATGCGTATTATACATAGGAAAGATTTTTTTTCCTCAATCACTCGCTGTATTCGGGACGGAATGACAGAAAGTTCTGTCTATACTTTAAACTAAATAATGTGTAAGAAAGTTTCAATTACTAAATAAACACTGAATTTTATTTTAAATTATTTTTAAAATTATTATTAACATTATTTTTGAAGTTATTAAAATTTATTTTTAAGATTATTATTAAAATTAAAAAAAATAATCTGCTTCATTGTTGACCATTTCAAAAATCGACGTTGTGATAATTTCATCTTTTGTTTACGCAGTAGATGTCTTTGTCATCTTCCATGACATTGTCGTCACCATCCACAGTATCATTTTGTTCTTCTTCCTCAAAAGGATTACTATCTCTACTGACTCCAGTGGAATCGTGATGCGGCATTTTTCGAATGATATTGCCATGGTGATTTCAGGTATGCTCTGTCAGGATTCATAGTAAATATAATCTCTGCTCGGAGAATGCGAATTGTCAGAGTAACTTGTTTCCATCTGTCAGCTATTGGTTACACGTGTTGCAAATTTTTCTCACTACCAATGATCTTGATGTTGAAAGTTTTGGTTCCTCTAAAATTCCGACCAAGGGTCTAATAGTAATATTCACTTAAGTTTTACGTTTGCTACAGAGTTCTATGTTTGTTTACAATGTTGTTTCTCCTAATATGAGCTTATTTTCGCTGCCGGTTCGTTGGATTTATGTGAACATGTCTGTACGTTTGCTATAAATACTGTGTAAGTTTTATTTTAAAACATAATATAAACTTGCATTATTTACATAATTCGGACTGTTATCATCATCTTCATTGCCATATTCACAACATTTCAACCTGTATATCTCTGAAATGAGTTATTATGATTACTTGCATCATTTACATTATTCGGACTGTTATCTTCATTGCCATATTCACAACGTTTCAGCCTCTATATCTCTGAAATGAGGCATTATGATTACTTGCATTATTTACATTATTTGGACTGTTATCCTCGTCTTCATTGCCATATTCACAACGTTTCGGCCTTTATATCTCTGAGATGAGGTATTATGAAGCGATGGTGCAATGTTCTTCGTATTCTGCAGTTCCTGAGATCTTTTGAATGAGATGAACACCGATTTCAGCCAATCAATTGATCACTCGCCCGTCTACAGGATCTTATTGCACAGCCTGCGCATAGCTCGGACAATCATGCTAAGAGTATCAGTGTTATCTCAGCTCTACTTGGATCAGATTGTTGTTCGTTGTTTTGTTCTTCTACAGTCATTTCTATCACCTCAGATTTGAGGACGTCACCGAACTACAGTGATCACGTTGTCATTATTTTCATGAATATCATCTTTATTCCGCAGCCGTAGTCCTACCATCTTCTCAGATATCCTTTCAGGCAGAACCCGGCCACCCTCGTTCTTGACATTTTGTGCTTCGATTGAAAACCTTTCCTCAGTATCTTGATGATGGTGACGATGATATCTGTCCATATTTATGCGATGAGGTATTATGTACACTATTTACATTATTCGAACTATTGTCCTCATCTTTGTTGCCATACTTATAACAACGTTTCGGCCGTTGTACGCTCCGGCCCCCTTCAGGTGATTGGAATGTTGAACTGAACCCTTTATTTTGCTCACTGGGGTAGTCTGTTCTAGTTCCACGTGCCATGTTTTAATCGATGTCAGTTATCAGTTATCTCCTGTTAACGGAACGAAACGTTGTAATAAATATGGCGACAAAGATGCGAACGATAGTCTGAATAATGTAAATAGTATATTATTTTCAATTGCAGATTTTCTCTGTGAAAGGAAGAAATTTTTCGCTGCGTTTTTGACTTTCAAAAAGTCCATTATTTCGTATCTGTCTATATATCTGAGATGAGGTATTATGTACATTATTCGGACTATTGTCCTCATCTTTTTCGCCATATTTATTACAACGTTTCGGCTGTTGTACGCTCCGGCCTCCTTCAGGTGGTTGAAATGTTGAACTGAACCCTTTATTTCGCTCACTGGGGTAGACTGTTCTAGTTCTACGTGCCATGTCTAATGGATGTCAGTTATCAGTTATCTCCTGTTAATTCCCTTCTCCAAGTTCTCCACTGCCTTAACCGGGTATTGAACTCACACTCCTTGGGTCCTGTCACTGGATCTAACTAACGCCTTCATGCACTGTGTCATATGTGTCCTTGAGGAACTAGAACAGTCTACCCCAGTGAGCGAAATAAAAGGTTCAATTCGACATTCCAACCACTTGAAGAAGGCCCGAGCGTACAACGGTCGCAACATTGTAATAAATATGGCGACAAAGATGAGGAGAATAGTCTGAATAATGTAAACAGTGGTGACGATGATGTATGCCTTATTTTTGTTGTGATGACTTCGCGGTCGTCTGCTACTTTCGCCCGTCTTTATTGCAGCCCCCTATCCATTTTGACCTCGAACTGAACTATTTTATAACTGTGTTTTATCTTTATATTTATTTTTTGCTAAAGTTCGAATCTGACTGAGAGTTTATTCTTTATTCCCAATGATCGGTATACATGTTTTAGCCTGATGAAAAGCATCTCGAATTAAGAAGAAAGAAATACTAATAAAAAAAAAAGAAGATAAATGCTAAGATTTCTACAGAATTCAGATGATTACATAAAATCATCTCACCATTCTATCGCGATTATTCAATTTTAAACCTTTTCTTTTTTTTAAATTTAAAAGCAGAAATATAAATAAAATACATTTTATTTTCCTTTTCTTCCATTTTTTTTTGTTATCCTCATAATGAGATTTTACTTTTGTTTCAGGTGACGGCAGGGAGTGTAGCATCTAGTCGGCTGAACGCTGGTGACATTATTTTGAAAATTGGGAATGTAAATGCCTCGGAGCTTTCTCACGTTGACGGCCAAGAGTTGATACGACATTCGGGAAATAACCTACAACTGACTATCAGAAAGTAAGTAACAAAATGATCCCCATTTATATGTAATAATAAGGTTAGATATTTTGAAAATTCTTTATACTAAATGAGAAATGTAAGGTTACTGATCTACTTTATACTTAGGGTTTAGCTGGTTACATAAGAAAAACTTAATGATGTTTAAAACTTTTGTTTATATCTGGATGGGTGCATCATACTTTTCTAAAATTCTTTAAAGCTATTTTATTTCTCATTGATGACATGGTTGTGGAAATTATTATTATCTGTCTATATCTCTGCGATGAGGTATTATGATTACTTGCATTATTTACATTATTCGGACTGTTATCCTCATCTTCGTTGCCATATTTACAACGTTTCGGCCTCTATATCTCTGAAATGAGGTATTATGATTACTTGCATTATTTACATTATTCGGACTTATCCACATTTTCATTGCCAGATTCCAAACCTTTCTGCCGTTGTACGCTCCGGCCTTCTTCAGGTGATTAGAATTTCGCACCGAACTTTTTATTTCGCCCACGGGTTGGGGAGGGGTTAGACTGTTCTAGTTCCACGTGCCATGCCTCTTCCGGGCGTCTCAGTTATTTCCCTTTAACTCAACTCCAAGTTTTTTGGTTCACTACTGCTGTGACGAGGTATTGAACTCACAGCTCTTTCGGTCTAGTCCTATACACAGCGGTCCTCAAGGACACATGACCCAGAGGATAAAGACGTCGGTTAGATCCAGTGACTAGACTCAAAGAGTTGTGAGTTCAATAGCAGGCCGCAGCAAAACTTAGAGAGTTGACTTAAAGGGAGATAACTGAGACATCCGGAAGAGGCACGGCACGTGGAACTAGAACAATCTACCAGGGACTCGGTTCGAAATTCCAATCACCTGAATAAGTCCGGAGCGTACAACGACCGAATAATGTAAATAATGCAAGAAATTATTATTGATAAGTTTTGTCTTAAGTTGCCCAATTATTCATGAAATAATATGTGTGAAAGAGAAATTATTTTGTTTCGTTTGTCATGATTTTATAATAGTTATTCTGACTGGGAAGACATGCGCTTCTGTAGTTCAGAAGATGTTTTGCCTTTTTTTTTTTAAAAAAAAAAAAAAAGAAATTGAAGTATATCGAACATATCAAGTATATATATCCTAAACATGGTGAAATTATTAGATTTCGTCCATATAGATATTGGAAAAAGTGGGACTGAGAGACCTACGCCGTCAGTCTGAATATGTAAATGTTACTACAATGATCATAAAAACGGTACTTATGTAGTGCAAGATAGGAAATGTTTACGTAAAATTGCTGGTCTAATATTAAGAGGTGGGAGTAAAGAAAGCTTATATAAATTTTGTCTTATTCTCTCTATAGTTTATTTGAAAGGGTACTGATAAAAATATTTTCAGTTACCTAACGAGGCTAGGATATTTTTGTTAGGTTTATTTGAGTGCAATATTTCAAGAAATTCGTTGGTGGAATTTAACACTACGTTTTTTGGCGGGTAATATGTCAGAATCATTTGCTTTAGAGTTTTGGATAAATGATAGACAGGGGTATGGATTTGTGAAATTACACGACGTACAATCTCCTCATAGACAAAGAAGGGGCTTGATGCAAGAGAAATGTGGTTCTACAGAAGTTATGCTTAGGATACTATGGACTGAACATGTGAGTAACGACAAAGTTTTAGAGAGAATGGAAACAAAAAGGACGCGTCATTTGAAATTTCTAGGGCATATAAAAGCTTGGAAAATTTGATACTCACAGGGCAGATTGAAGGCAAAAGGGACGGAGAAAAACAAAGCATAATCTACTTAGCGAGCTTGAGTAAATAGATGGCGGAACAAGTTTTAGGAGAGATAACAAAAAGAAAAAAATTATTAAGTACTATAAAGGACAGGAAATTGTGGAAAGCCATGATCGCAAAGAAGGAGAACCAGAATCCCCCCCCCAAAAAAACAGAAGAAAAACCAGAACCAGATATGTTTTTTTTTTTTATGCCCCCATATGTGTGTGTATATATATATATATATATATATATATATATATATATATATATATAACAGGGTAATACTCATCCACAATATTGTAGAGTTTGGTGGATCCAACTTCAGCGTTATGAGCTGTGATAAGTTTATTTATCTGTATATTAAGGAGGCTGGTGATGTTTTTCTTTAATGTTTTGATTTTGCTATCGAGAATAGTATCAAATTTTGCATTTCCGCCGGTCTTGTTTAAAATAACTTTCGAATTATAATATTCTCGTTATTTCTCGCCCTTATTTAGGCTGATTCGGTCGAAAGTACGTGAACCAAAACGTGAATTTGAATTTAAATGTATAACAATATTCGAAATTTGGAAAAATACGATAAAAAAATGAAACAAACCTTTTCGGTTGAATTTAACAATACTTGTTCAAAATAAATTATTGCTACCTCAATATACTTTAAATGCGTTCACGCGATTGTGTGTGTGTGTGTGCACGAACAAAAACACGCGTGCATATATGCATACAGGAACATAAATAAGTGGTGCCTACAAATTTTACTGATAAGCTTTAATTTCAACACTCAATTCCATTAATTAAATCTTTGTCCTTCTCCACAGGCCATAAAAGTAGTGTTCGCCATAAAAGTGGGGAAATCTGTGCTGAAATAAAAACTCATTTTGTGTTTGACGAAATATTTCTTATATGGAATCCATTTTGTACAAAAACGAAGCTTCCAGACCTCGAGCCAGACAGCCAATGAAAAAGTTGATTCTTATGTTGTAGATATTTACTAAGTCTAATCCGATATAAAGTTAAGCACCTTCTTGTATACTCGATTAAATTAAATATACTTAATGTTATTCTTATAGCAATAATTTAAATATCGCGGCTGTAAAGTTTAATGTTGATGTGATTTAGGCATAAAAGTCGAGCGACAATGAGAAATGCCAACTTGAAGCATTCTGTTGCAGCTCCTGTCAATACTGGATACAGCTGGGTTCCCTCCCCAAAATCGAACCCCTAGGCCTCGACCGTGGTGATGGAAAGCGGCCGGATGGCATTATCATTTTCCCTTTTAAAACGGTAATTTGATCAGGTCCGCGGTTGAGCAGGGGGTCTGTCACCCGGGACGCGGAGATAAAAAGTTAAATATTCTTCTCTTGCTGATAGATTTTTTTTTTTACTCCTGTGGCAGTGGAGACTTCAGGGGTTATTGGCCTTCGTTCGATGGCGTTCCTTCGGATGATTGGCGCGATTGCGTCTCGATTAAGGGATGAGCCTCGTGAAACGGAGTGGCTCTTGCAGCGTGTCTCACTGGCGATGGTTCGAGGTAATGCTTTCTCCATCATTACGGCTGGCAGTAAAAAAAAAAAAAAAAAAAAAAAAAATTGTTTATAGTTGCTTTGTTCACACCTTTTTAAATAAATTGATTTTGTTTTATATTTTAAGAATTTGACGTCTTTATGGAATAAAATTTCAGTTTATGATGTTTTTTGTTTCGATTTTAATTTTATTTATATTTACGTGATTCCAGTCATTCATTTTTATTAAATGAACAAATAATTTTAATGTCGTGAATTTATTTTCAACTCAACCGAAATCAAATCTCGTTTTTTCATGAGAAAACTTTCTAAGTTTTGCGTGTAAAATAATTTTATAAATTTTGTTCTGGCGTTTCCACGCTTCTTATTAGTTAAAAGAAGAATTTGTATTCGGAAGGTAAAATGTTTGAGTATTTACCCATCAACCAGCGAAATCACAAAACTTTACATAAACAAACTGATATGCATAACAGGTAATTTTGAATTTATTTTACGTCATAAATTTTATATTTTACTTGAATTGTTTTACCGAGAGTAATTTTATTTTTCATAACTGTAAAACGGGATTATACAGGGGACTCAAATTTGGCTCTAAGCCAACTTCGATTGCAAAAGTTTTTCAAATTCATTTAAGTTTAGACACATACACTTGTATATATATATAACTTTGTCGGATCATCAGTTAAGACGACGAAAATTCTTTGGCCATTTTTAAAGCTGAATAACAATTTTCAATTTCTTGAAAGTTAGGAAAATATTAGTCGGATATTGTTTGTCCAGTCATTGATTATTCTAACTTAAGACAAATTTAAAAATAAAGTGGTAAAAATGACTCAACATCTGGTATGCGAAATTGAGATTCTTTCTTTGATGAACTGATTTTGTTAGGCTTGCATTTATTTATTTCCTTAGCACATCAGAGAAAAATCTTTGCTTTTTTGTTCTATTGGAAAAGCGGGAATCTACCATACCATTTTTCAGTTATCAACAGTTGAAATACCTGAGAATTGGGATGTAGCAATTTGTTGTCCCTATAAATTTTATCAAAGTTAGCGTGGCCATCTTGCAATGCCAGCCTGACACGTATATGAATGATTATGTTATACTTTTCCTGACCTAATGATCAGTTTGGTCCCAATTAAAATCCGATACTGGCCAGCAAGTATGGATAATTTATTTTTTGAATTGCAGAGACGAATGCAGTGACCAATATATATATATATATATATATATACACATATATATTTTTTATTATATTCTTAATCTGTCCAGGACAGATTAAGAATATAATAAAAAAGGCTCAAACTAATATTCAATGGTTATAATTTAATATATTGGAATCGTAATCACGATCCAATTCATCAGACCAACAAATTCAAAAAGAAATAGGAAAATATAACTCCGGGTATATAAAAAAAAATTACTTACCCTTTATTGCATCTTTTCTCTGTCCTTTTTTCTTCTGTTACACCTCTCTCTAGAGCTTTCAGACAGCGTGAGAGCCAACAGCTGACTGACACGAATGTTAACTAGCATGCAAAAAAAATCGATAGCTGCATTCGTCACAAGTGGGAAAAATTTAAATCTGCATGGCACTTTACTCCAATTGGCCCACTCGCTTGCTTAAACTCAACGTTGATTCTGATTCCGCAGAACTGGGTTGGGTGTGAAAAAGTATTTGTTGTTAACATTCTTTTTTCATTC